AGAACCTGATTGGTGGAAGTATTCACGTGATTGGCATTGCTTATCAATTACAAGCACGATAAATTGCACATGGAGCACGCATGTTTACTCGGGTGGCTAAGCTGATCTTGCAAACCACGACGATACAAGAAATGCTTGTCCGAAAGCTACATCTTGTCCTAAGTGATAAAGTATGTCCAAGCAGGCTAAGCTGACTAACATTACGGATGTGGAGAATAGCATATGATATCAATGCGTTATATATAGAGGAYATTACATAGRCGCGCGGAGRTACGGATTTTATCTTCGAGTGTTGAAAAGATCTTTCACGAGTAAGCGTAGCGAATTTCAACACGAGAAGGTAAAATTCGTATCTCCAAGCGACCATGTAATATTCTGTTGATCATAATTACATATGAAAGCAAATTTTGTCATAAAATACTTTTTTTCTTGCTTCCACTATATGTATAGAAAAACCTCGAATATGTTATTTTCACTAGTGAAAAACATGTAATATCAACTTAACGAAATTAAATGGAGAAATATACTAGGCATTTAATAAATTATCATATGATAAATGATATATACGTGTCCTACAGATTAGAACTATTCCACACTCCATTGGATGAGCACGAACCAATGTCTTCAAGTCAAGACTAGAGTTTTTTTTCCAGTGTCGAAACCTCCAGCCTCAAACTGAAGCCATGGTTTAGTGTTCATCTGAGATAGTGTATGGTAAGTCTATATAATTTTCAAGTAACAGCAGGGAATAAGAAAGGAAGCCGTCTCCTTCGCAGTTCCCAGTTTATCGAAGCAAGAAGACCGTTAAGCGTGCAATGATAGAAACCTTCTTTCACATCATTATTCACACTGTCAGGTATCTATCATTGCAAGCTCAACGGTTGCCTCGCTTCTCGCTTCGATGTAAAGGCACGGCTACCTTTCAAGATGACGCAGGGAACACTACTGATGGGCGTGTCTTTCCATTTTCATCTATCATGACGAGTTTGAAAAGTATTGTACAACCCAAGAATAACAGCCTAACGAAAGGTTCTCTATTTTCCCCGTCATTATACCATACACGGCAAATACCATTAAAATTTAAAAAAGTAAGCCAAGGCCCGTGATTTTAAATGGCTGATGCGAATACCTGTAGTCCCCCAAGTTCGTCCTGAAAGAGTAGTGTTATCGAACCATAGTCACTGTGTTCACCACATCGTACTTGGTCCTTCTTGATGACGTAATCGTTGGTTATTGGCGGGTAGTAGAGGATGCGCATGGCAGAGGAATTGATTGGTTTTCCAATGTTCTGATGAGCTTTTATTAGCCAATCAGGGCTCTAGGAAAAAATATGATTATATGGAATGATAATAATAAATCATCAGAAATGCAAAATTTGCGATTGCTCTCAGCAATTTTRCAGAAATACYGACAATAGAGGCTAGCGCCCCCACCACCTAGTACGTTACAGATGTCTTATGTAGTTAGCTGAAGATATTGACGACTTTCAGAATGGCCGACACTAGCTAATTAGCATATTATCGTAAAAGGAAACTCTTCGATGACGAAGCTAAAGATAAGTTCTGAAAGTTTCACATAAAAAGATTAAATCCTCTTGAAATTATAAGGATTTTAARTGGCACAAAAACACCAAAACGAGAATACCAACACCTCAGCCAAAACGAGGCTACCAAGGCCTCAGCAAAGAATTTCATACAAATCCTTGTATTTTAGTTCCTCAGTCGATAATTTCGTTAGCATTTAGTCCAACTTCCAAATTTTCCACAAATAAATATTTCAGATAGTTCTTCTATATATAAACAGTGCTGAATGTTTCCATAGCATTGTCAATTGTAGAAAATCGATGGTAGGTAATTATTAAATGGGTCTATGTTAGAACTGCGAATTACATAAGACCACTGCAACAGAAGTTAGAAAGTAATAATTCACCTTGATTTTAAGTCCAATTCCTATAGCCTTCAGTATTCTAAATGCAAGCTGAACGCACTTGTCATACAATCCTTCAAGTGACGGTTTCATGTCTGGTACAGTAGATGTTGGCCATTTCTTGAAAACATAAACAAAATACCTTTACAAACAAGCAAAGCTTGATCAACACTACACCAAAATGTGTTAGCTTCAAAAACAACAACTTACGATTCTTGCTATTCGCGTGTGATGCGTATTTTTTCTTTTCTTTTTGTGTGTGTGCTTGTGCGTGTGTATTTTTCGGTTATTAGATAGATAGATAAACCTTTATTAACTTATACCGCTCAGGGTAGCCCCATCAGATGCAAAAAGCAATCTGTTATCAATGGGAGCCCTGAGCATAACAATATAAACTACATTAGTATAAACATACTAATGGTCTATCACTCATACT